TCTATTTGTATTCCTAGAAATTCTATTTGTGTTTTCATTATTTCTGCCTTTTTATTACTTAGACTTATTCCTGAGTATGTTATAATATGTATAAATTTTTCTAGCAATTTTATATGTTCATCTTGAGTCCTTGAATATAATAATATATCATCTATGTATACTATACAATTTTCTAATTGGTTAAAGTAATTATCCATGAAATGTTGGTATCTTCCTGGTGCATTTTTATATCCAAAAGGTAATACATTCCATTCATAGAATCCTTGTGGTACTGTGAAAGCTGTCAATTTTTTGGATTCTTCTTCTAATTTTAGATGGTAAAATCCTGACTTGCAATCAAACTTACTGAAGTAATTATATCCTTGGATTTGTCTTATTTTTTATACTTTGTTTGGTATTGGGTAATTATATGTTTTTGTTTTTGCATTTAGATTTCTATAGTCAATAACCATACGACTTTTTCCTTTTTTTGTTCGCTATGTTTGTTTACTATGAATGCTGGACTTGTATGTTTACTATTGCTTTCTTGTATGTAATTATTTTCTAGTAATTCTTTTAAATGCATTTTAAATTCTAATAATTCTTTTATATGCATTTTGAATTCTGCCAAATCATCGAAATTATATTTTAATGGTTTCTGGGTTATGATGCTATTTTCATCAATCAGTTCGATGTTATTTTTGTCTTATGTTTTTCTTATCCTTTTAGGGGATCTTCACTATATAACGGTTCTAGTTTTTCTTGAATTATTTTTAGTTTATCTATAGAAAATACAACTAATTCGATATTATGGTTACTTTTATAGAAAATACAATTAATTTGATATTATGGTTACTTTCGTTAATATTTTTTAGTTTTTGGGTATTCTTTTCACTTCCTTTGATCCATGGTGTGGTTTTTCTATTTTTGTTGTTTACCCTTTTTGCTTCCTACCTTTTGTTTACATGGTGTAGTAAACCACCAGTGTGTTTTGTTATCACATGGGGAGTATAGTTTTTCTTAAGAATGGCATTCCTAAAAGCATATCCTTATTTATAAATTCGTAGCTATATATGTCTTCTATAGTTAATATTTTATCCCATATTTGCAATTTTATATTATTTGCTTTATATGTTATCATACTTCCTTCATTATTGAATCCTGTTACTACTATTGGTGTTTTTAGCTTTTCCCATTTTTCTTCTGGTAGACAATTGTGTTTGCACATATTAGCTTCTGCTCCTGTGTCTAGCGTAGGGGTGTAATATCTGTTGTAATTTTCTATTATTATTTTTGCAAGTATGTATATTTTCATATTTGTTCTTTTTTATTATTGACTTTCTTATTTTATTATGTTATGGTCAATTGTGTGTTTTCTAAATTATATGGTTTCATTTCTTCTAACCATTTTATTCCTAATATTATGTTATCTCCTTGATAAATTTTGAATTTTATTAGTATTTACTATTCCTCCAATAATTATTTCTTTTTCTGCTATTTCATAAAAAAATAATAACTCTTTTGGTAATTCTGGGCACGTTTGTTCTTTAGAGGTTATTTCATCTTCTGTAACTAACTCTCTTGTTATATAATTTTCTTCTTGACCAGTATTTATTATTATAATATACTTCCTTTGTTCTATTATTCCAGTTATGTAGTAACGGTATGGTTCTATATCTTTTATCATTTGATAATCTATTGATTTTCTTGAGAGTTGAGGTGTTTCATTACTGTGGTTTATTCCTTTCATTCTTTTTGATGTGCTTATTCTGTCACTTACAATTTCTAAATCTTCTTCTATATCTATTTCCTTGTAACTGTAGTCATTATTATCTATTACTGTAACAATTTGTTCCATACGTCAATCTTCCCCTAATCTTAAAATTAGATCATGAAGGATCCGACCTCTAAATCCGCACCCATATCGGACACCCTAGGCCAAGCAACTTAGGTGTTACTTTTAACTTTTTTGTAGTTGTGGATGAAGAAACTATCTATTGTGCTATGTGTTTCAAATCTTTTTATACAACCAAAAACTTTTTTTGAGAGGAGGTTTGGTATGACTGGGTTTTAGCAAGGCAGGAATATGATGAGCAGGTCCTATTTCAACCAGAAGTCAATGGTGTGGCTATGCCATATTTTAAAGGAAGCCTCTAAGGTCAAAGGCAAGATTGTGAGAAACTACATCAACCAGCATTCCAGGCAAAAGTAGATCAGTATTAATTATCCCAGAAATGGCCTTCAATGTTGATTGGGCAGAATTGGCCTTCAGAAATGAAAAGTTTATTCAGTATAATACCTCTGGGAAGAAGTACAAATTGCTAGGACTGTTGATCTGGAAATTCCATATGCGGATCTTGTCAGGAGAAGTAAATGGTCTTCTAGGGAAACTGAGGAAGCTCAAACTAGAAGAAAGGGGACACAATTATCATTTGGGGGGGGGGGGGGCCTA